GCACCTGTGACCGGCATCTTCAGAGTGCAGGAGCACAGACAGGAGCAGTTCTGTCACAGATGCTGGTGAAACGTTAGGAAACAAAACTTCAAGACCACGGCCACACAGCCCGGAAGACCCACACCAGCCAAAGAGGGGAGAAGTTTGAAGAAAAAAGGCAGTGAGGGAAGCAACGTGTGGATGTGAGGGAAGCAACGATGGTTTACAATGACGGACACATACAGAGAGGGAATGGGGTTAGTATAATTTAGATTTAACTTGATTTCCTCCTATTTTCTTATCTCCGGCCTTTAACTTGTTTGACTTGTTGCATCTTCCTTTTTTTCCTGTTCTTTGTGTAACACTGTTTACCCCGAAAGGCGTATGATACCTATGCCCAGAGAATGGACGGTTTTTCAACTGTGGAGGGCAACTCTTTATTGTGAAAATGGTCATTTGGGCCACCAAAGCCATAATGGGAGGAATAGAACTGTTAGCCTTTTCTTTTTTCCTTTTCCTTTTGCAGGAAGGGCTTACGTTTTTAAAACAAAGGCAACTTTTTCTAGAAGTTTGCTAACTCGCCACCAAATTTCAGCCGTGTGATCTGGAACAGGGCAGGGAGGGTGGAGGGCGAAACTTGATATGGAGCTTTTTTAAAAATGCAAAGCATCTTGCTTTTATTTTAGGGTGTGCAAAAATAGTCTTTCAAAATCTTCATGCTATTCACAGACTGAGGGCATCGATGGAGACGAGGAACATTTTATTACATGTTATTTGGATTAAGACAACGTTCAATAGTAATTTGGTTAGGGTAGGATTCTCTTCTACGAAACTTGGCTCAGATAATACTGAATAAATAAAAATTGTAGGACATACTGCTGGATAAAAAGAAACAATGGGCCACGTGATCTGGAAGAAATAAGGACCAAGAGTTGATTGCTTCCGTAATAAAAATGATCCACTCGGAAACCAAGTCTTCGTTTCTGCTTATGGACAACATTTTGCTAATATTTTCCAGGGAAAGAATTGTTTTTCAAATAGTTCAGGAGACAATAAAAATACTTAACTATATTAGATTACATTGATCTTAACAATCCATATGACCTCTGTAAAAAAGGAGAAGCAGCAAATTTACAGGTACATCTCTTTTCTCTTCCAAATTGACCTCTAAGGCTTTTACAAGTTTATAGTGTATCTTCGTTTGAACCATGGAAGAACCGGCTATAAAGAAGCCCCATTGGGTAGTATTTATGACATCACTTATATGTCCTTCTCCTTTCCATCCAAGTTTCTGAAGTTGCTTTGCAAACATTCTGAAAATCTTGGCAGGTTCTTAAATAAGACACTGGATCGGTGTTTCTCAACCTTGACAACATTAAGGTGTGTAGACTTCAACTCCCAGAATTCCCCAGCCAGCCATCTTAAAGTTGCCAAGGTTGAGAAACACTGCATTGGATGAACTTATACATGAATTCCTGTCTTGCTTTCAAAAATAAAATTGAAGTCTCCTTTGAACAGAACTCAACCTGTTGACTTCATGGACATGTTTCTGTAGTGGTTACTTCCTCTTTTTAGGATTTCTTTTTTTTAAATTTTCCAGTCTAACCTACAGGACTGATATTCCTTGGTAGTCTCACATTCAGGTTCTAATCACTCGACTCTGTTCAATTTCCAAGGCAAAACAAGGTCACCCAGTCTAACTTTCCTATTTCCCCATCTCAGATGGACACTATGGAATATGCTATGGTGGAAAGCAGAAACATACAGGTAGTCCTCGCTTAACGACCGTAATGGGGACCGGAATTTCTGTTGCTAAGTGAAGTGTCATTAGACGAAACATCATGTCACCACACCGCTTAGCGACAGCAGTTCCGGTAGTCCTGGTTATGGTTGTTAGGTGAGGACCTCGGGCTTCTCCTGCCCTGTGTGAACTGCTGGCTCCATCCTGCTCCCTCCTCCCTGGCCAGGCCCAGCGAGCTCCCTTCAGCAGATGAGGCTCGGCCATCCTGCCATGCTCGCCTCCGCTTCAACTCTCCCCACCCACCTATCTCCCCCCATCTCTGCCCTTTTTGCCGCCCTGCACTCCGCTGCTGCCGCCACCTACCCCTGCCGCCCTCAGCTGCCCTTCGCCATCTTCTTCCTCCCACCACTGACAAGGCATGCCCAGCCAAGGCAACTGCTAGCCCTTCGTGACGCCTCCATGAGGCCTCACAAATGCATTGCGAGGTGTCGCAAAGTATTGCAGAGGCCTTGTGGAGGCCTTGTGAAGGCCAACAGCTGCCTTGGCCGGGCACACCTTGTCAGCAGCGGGAGGAAGAAGATGGCAAGTCAGCTGAGGGCGGCAGGGGTAGGTGTGGCGGCAGAGTGCAGGATGGCCACAAGGGCAGAGATGAGGGGAGGGGAGATAGGCGGGTGAGGGGAGTTGAAGTGCACACTGCAGTCATAAATGTGGGCAGGTTGCCAAAGGCCCGAATTCTGATCATGTGACCACTGGGACACTGCAACAGCTGTAACTTTGGAGACCGTCATAACTACCATTCATTCAGCGCCATCGTAACTTTGAATGGTCACTGAACAAATGGTCGTCAAGCAAGGACTACCTGTATATTTAACCCTTAAGCTGCCCACATTAGAATTACAGCAAGAAGCTGAATAGTTACGCCTCCAGTATTAAACTCTTGCACTTCTGGGTTGCAGGAGAGAGGTGCAGGTAATTCAGATCAGCCCAAATTCTATTTTTCCCCTATTTATTATATTTTGGTTGTTATATTTCACCCACTATATAACCCCTGTTTAACTCTTTGGCATAGATTTGGATTTAACTCATTTTTTACAGGAACCCTAAGAGATGAGGCAACACATCATCTTAGAAGAACTGGTTTTGAGTACCAGAATAGATGAAAACATTTCAAGCATTTCAGCTGTATAATTTAGGGCAGTGGTGGAAATTCTTTTTGTTTGGGATAAACAACTAGGACTCGGCAATTTCCAAGGATCCACTGTAACTCATCTGGTGATCTAATGATAGATCCTGATCGCCTTTCAATCACCCATGACCTAGAGTCTGTGGCAGATTCTCAACCAAACAACCAGGAGTTTCAATAATTGGCAGCCTCTAGTCTCCAATTTGTATGACACAGCTGTAATCAAAGCGGTAAAGTGAATTTTCCAGAGACTAGGTTTTGCCCCTGAAAACTGCTTGGAATATACAGAACTTTGTTCATAATTTCTTGGACTTTGACTCTCTCTTTTCCTTCTTTTAGCTGGATGCTTTCTGGTTCCTCAGGTCCACTGAGCTCTGATTTCTACAACGGAGTCATGCATAAAAACTATCTTGAGGATTGTTCTCAAAGTGAGAGATGTTCCTTTTCCATCCTCAGGGATTTATCAAAACTCTGGCATTTTCCCAAACAGCTCCAAAAGGCTGACTTTCAGAGCTACTGTAATGTTAGTGATACACTTGACACGTCTGAAATGTATTCTTTAATACAGTAGAACCTCCGTTTAATGGACCTCCATTTTAATGACTTTGGATACTGTGGACCCAATTTGTATTTGGACTTTGCCCACAATGCAAGACACAAGATTATTGTTTCTACAGTCTGTCCAGATTGACAAACTTGACATTTGTGCAATAATATAATTGACATCTTTAGGTTATTTGTGTCTAGGTTATAAGCATTCCAATGGATGATTGTAGAGAAAAGAGGGAATGGCCTTGCGGGACAGAAGGAACAGACGCTACCAAGGCAACAGTCAGATGAAAGGGGCCTGAGTCTGGGGCAAGAATGTAATGTGAGTAAACATTCTAGCCAAGCCCTTCCCTAGTTCATATGAAGATGAAGGGAGGGAGGGGGGAACTGCATTCAAACTTGTACGATTCTGTTACTATAGCTTTACAATAAAAAAGTAAAGAAAAGCTACATGGCATTGGCTTCTTAGTCTGATCTATCTTGAAGGGGTGACAATCACTAGAATGCTTAAACGAGTGCTAAAGCCTGTGGCTTCTTGCTGAATGTGCAGCTAGTGGCCAAGGCAGGTTGGAGTCTACCCAAAGTTGCATTCACAAACACATTTAACTTGGTTACTGAATCATAAATAAAGCAAATGGTTGGATTGGCACAACGTGCCAAGCCATGACCAAAACCAATCAAGTTGACTTTATCCAAACTTAGCATGTTGTGCAAATGGATCCTCTTGCCTTTTATCTTAGTTAGCTTGCCAAGCAAACACAGCCAGCGTGTGAAATGGCCCTTCTGGAAAATAATCAACCCTCTCCCAGGCTGGCTATCTGCCTGGACAGATGTGGTCAGCTGAGAAACGTTCCATCTTGCTTGCATTTGATGAGTTCTTATTTTAATTCCTCTTGTGGGTTATTCATCCCGGATACCTGAGACTGCATGAAGTAATAAGGCAAAAGTAAACATTTATTAAAACCAAAAGAAATCCTTGGAACAGGGCTTACTGGTGCAGGCGCTGTCGGGGAGATCAGTATCCGATCTGAAATAGTTGTTCCGGCATGTGCAGAGAGTGGCAGCTCCAGAGCTTGTCCGGCTATTGGGAGGGCACGGAGAACAGAGACTTTCTCCCTGCTTTGACTTGAACGTCCCAGGACCACAGGCTGGAAGTAAAACACACATACGTACAAAATTGAGCTTAGAGAATGGCGTACAAGAGACGAAGGATAACTTTGTCCACGATGAACCAATTCCCCATCTTGAATTTCACAGCCAACAATTAAGGAGGACGAAAACGGGGAGACCACTGCAGGCCAGCCCTTGATTCTATCTAGACCAGGCTTCAGCAGTCTTGGAGCTCACCAGATGTGCAGAGGCCAGCTCCCAGAATTCTTGGCAATGGCCAGGTTAGCTAGGAAATATGGGAGCTGACGTCCACACAGTCAGAGAGTGCTGGGACTGGGAGAGCTGATTTACATATTGAACAGAATGAAGTAGCAGAAAAGACCACATCATTCAAATTCTTCTAATTTATAAACTCTTTGCCAACTGAAAGATGGCCTAGAATGCAATCAGAACATGCTAGTACACCCTTCCTCAAACCCACACCCTCCGGCTGAACAGGGACTAAAACTTTCATCATTCCAGATCAACATTCCTAGGTTTGGGGAAAAAAAGGATCTGATATGATCCTTTCAATGAATATAACATGGGTTCTTCTCCTTCTCTTGCATGGAGGACATTTCAGAGAGGATGACCTCACTCCCCACCATTTCCTGAAGGAACACAACCTTTTCTCCAACATCAGCATCTTAAATCTCATTAGTCATGTTCACTCACTAATTTATTTGGACAGTTTGTATGTCTGGTCCCAGAGGCTCTGAATAGGATATAAGAAAATATAGTGCTGATTCCAGGTATCACAGCAAAGGGGGATAAGTCATGGCAAGCCCCCCACAAATGACATCACTGCGCAAGCCCCTTCTTTACATGCTTGTGAAGCTGCTGTGGGGCAGGGCTCAATTAGTGACTTCACTGCACATACTTAGACCACCAGGAAAACGTATCTTGTTTCTTATGTGCCAGCAAAAAAACAGGCCTGCCAGCACTGCTGGCTTGTCTTCCACCAGTAATTTCCAACTACAGGCTGAAAACAGACCAGCTGCAGCTGACCTGTTTTTTGTCAGCAAGGAGTAATTAAAGCACCATTTTTTATTTTGCCACCCGTTGCTTAGATTTTTTTTTTTTAATGTTCTTTTACATCAATAGATCTCAGTGGCTATAATATAGATGCCTACAGCTGATCCTTGCTCAATGTCTCTTCTTGCTTTTCTTCCTACCCTATTCCCACGGCCATTCTCAGATGTAGCAATTTGTCTCTGTTTTCTTCTTCCTGGATGTCCAACAGCCCAGTCCTGAAACACTGGATCCCTCTACTCCCACCAGAAATATTAGTTTCCCAGCCAGGCAATCAAGACAGTGCCAACGCTTTCTCCCTTGCACTTCCCACCTAATTGTATTCCACTCCTTTGTGGTGTACAAGTCTGTGCAAAAGAGACATTGCTTTTGATTGGCACAACTGTGCTACCTCTGTGACGGACCAAGTGCAACGTGCCCCTCTTCCTCTCTCAGACTCGGGGTTTCCGAATGTTAAATGCAGACACAATGGTCTTTACTCCAGAGTTTTGATGCAAGAGCAAACTAGACCAGTCTGTAAGTCTCTCTGCAGATCAGGATGACTGATACCACCACAAGGTGAAGTCCTCCAATCTTCCCTCATCTTTTCTTCTCCTGCCCCACTGATTTAAAGGACAGGCCTCCCTGTATTCCACCACTAGTTCCTATACCCCCCAAAATTATCTCTTGGCCAGCTTCTCCTTGGCTAGAGCTTCACAGAGGATCCTGCAGCAATTCAATAGTTCGAAGGCTTCCAGTGCTCCTGAATGTCTTGCAAGAATATTTTGACTTTGTGGAGCTGACGCGGGTACGCATGCCTACGTGCACGCGAGTGTCGGTGTGCCCAGCTCCGCTCCGCTCGAGTTTCTGTGATGTTTTTTTAACCATTCCAGAAGTCCCAGCAGAATTCAGAAGCCATTTGCCTGGAATTCCTGCTGTCATTAGTGGTGCCTTTCTTTGCCCCCTCCAGTCCCCTGGGGCTGGGAGGAACAACTCTACTTTCACCAGGTTTGCCTGGAAGGCTGACAGAGCCTTCCTACCCTTCTTTCTCCCTTTTCCCCCAAAGCTGCCTAGATTCACTGTTCCTGCTTCCAAATAAACAGAGGATGTGTTCAAAAGTAAAAAAAAAAAAAGGGAGGGGGGGGGGGAAGC